TGCCATCACCAATCTTCAATAAAGGTAAGTAAAAATTTTATTTTTTATTACTATACATAATTAAAGACTAGCATTTGTTGTGTGTATGTAAAACTGTAATTAATCACTATAAAATGTATTTTTTTTTTGTGAATATTTTTGGGTTTCTGGAACAGATTAATTGTATTTCCATTATTTCTTATGGGAAATATTGCTTCGAATTTCAGACTTTTCGAATTTAGAACTAGCTCCTGGAACGGATTAAGTTCGAAATTTGAGGTTCCACTGTATAGACATTTTCATTAATCCATCTATAATATTTTCTTCAAAATTATATAAGAAACACGCTACATAGTATTTAAACATTTTTATATGCTATGGAGGTGTGGTAACCAAGCGGAGGGAAAACATTACGTCACTCCCCTTAATGCATAACGCTTTTGTTTACAATTCTCAGCTTGAATTATTTATTACTTCTCCCTTTGTTTATGATGGCATCTAAAGGTAGTTGTTATAAACGATTAAACTCAGTGAACATGGTATGTCGATGGTAGCCAGGCAACTTGTAGGACTTGTGGTAGCCAGGCAACCTGTAGGACTTGTGATAGTCAGGCAACTTGTAGGACTTGTGACGAGAACCAGACGCGTTCATTTGGTTTGTTTACATTATGTGTAGTGGGGTTGGATCAGAGTCTCATGGGGGGCTTCCTGTGCACAATAACCCCAACTCTCTCTCTCCCCATATTTAAAATGCCATCACCAATCTTCATTAAGTAGTAAAAATTTTTTGTTTAATTATAATGATTAATATCATTTGTGGTATTTATTAAACTGTAACTTTCACTAATATGGATCTTTTTGTAGAATATTATGGTGCATTTCTAGAATCAGTTTATTACGAAGCTTCCGTTATTAAGGAAGTCTCCAACTTCCAATGTACTGGTTGAATTAGAATGCTCCTGGGAGGCACTATTAAGTTAAATTTGAGTCTGTAATTGTTTTCAAATGCTATGTATTAGCTGTGTCTTTTTATTTTTATATAACACGCAATGATTAGGTACAATTTTTATTGCTATGACTTGGGTACAAACATAAGTAAACATATGTCATACCCTAATCGACAAACGCCTATTCACAATCTCACTTGGTTTTTTATTTTCTTCCTTTGTTTTGGTTACAGTTATTGTTATACGATTCAATCAGGGAACTGGATGCGATGGAGCAGACTTTGACTTGTGGTAGCCAGGCACGTGGACTTGTATAGCACTTGTAGGATTGGCGAGAGCCAAGGGCTATGTTGTTTACATTCTGTGTTAAATTGATAAATTTTAAAACTGGAACTTTATTCCTTTTTAGCTTCAGACCATGGTAACGGCCTTCGTAATAAAAAATAAAATAATTAAAAGGTAATTAATGACGTAATATATGCATTTTATCACTCTAGGGAGCGTAGGTATAAGTGGCCAGGCAGGATGCCATACCTCCCACACGACTTTCTACAAATAAATACTTTTCACCTCTCGCCCTACATTAAGACCATTTTAAGACTACAAATATTTTTAAGGTAAATGTGCATACTGTATATGCATTGTATCGCTCTAGGGAGCTTTAAGCATCATAGTACAGTATAGTATGTGTGGATGGGGTGGCCAGGAGGGCTACCACACCTGACTTCTTAGAGTAAATACTACTCACCTTTTGCCCTACATTAAGACTACAAATATTTTGAGGTAAATAATGTGTACTGTGTATTTTAATTTTTAATGCCTAGTTCTACTGCAAACTTAAAATATGTTAAACTTGTTATCTGTTATTTATATGCATTTATAAATGGAAAAAATGGATTTCTGCTTTCCGGCGAAGTCTGCTTTCTGGCAGTAGCCTGGAACCTAACCTGCCGAATAAGTGGGGCCCTGCTGTATACGTTTGGACCGTTTAGGGGTTAAACAACCATGGTGACATTACACATCCCTATCTAAGACCTACTTTTACTGGGAAGTAATCTCCCTCTCTTTTACACACCCTGACCTGAGCCTCATTATCATCATAAAAACTCTTTACAGCATTTAGTAACTTACTACCTATTCCAAATACAGTGGACCCCCGGTTAACGAACTTTTTTCATTCCAGTAGTATGTTCAGGTACCAGTACTGACGGAATTTTTTCCCATAAGGAATATTGTGAAGTAGATTAGTCCATTTCAGACCCCCAAACATACACGTACAAATGCACTTACATAAATACACTTACATAATTGGTCGCATTTGGAGGTGATCGTTAAGCGGGGGTCCACTGTACTTGCAACATCTGCCACATTGCTCCCCTATCCACTCTATCATATGCCTTTTCTAAATCCATAAATGCAGTGGAAACTTCCCTACCTTTATCTAAATACTGTTCACATATATGCTTCAATGTAAACACTTGATCTACACATTCCCTGCCCACTCTAAAGCCTCCTTGCTCATCCACACTCCTACTCTGTCTTACCTCTAATTCTTTCAATAATAACCCTACCGTACTTTTCCTGGTATAATCAGTAAACTTATTCCCCTATAATTTTTACAATCTCTCTTGTCCCCCTTTCCTTTATATGAAGGAACTATACATGCTCTCTGCCAATCCCTAGGTACCTTCCCCTCTTTCATACATTTATTAAACAAAAATACCAACCACTCCAACACTATATCTTCCCCTGCTTCTAACATTTCTGTCATGATCCCGTCGATTCCAGCTGCTTTACCCCCTTTTATTCTACGTAATGCCTCGCACACCTCTCCCACACTCACATCCTGCTCTTCTTCACTCCTAAAAGATGTTATACCCCCCAGGCCAGTGCATGAAATTACTGCCTCTTTCTTCATCGACATTTAAAAGTTCCTCAAAATATTCCCGCCATCTACCCAATACCTCCAGCTTCCCATCTACTAACTCCCCTACTCTGTTTTTAACTGACAAATCCATTTGTTCCCTAGGCTTTCTTAACTTGTTTATCTCACTCCATTTTTTTTTTTTCATCAAAATTTCTTGACAGTGCCTTTCCTACTCTATCATCTTCTCTCCTTTTGCACTCTCTTCACCTTTCTTTTACTCTTCCTATACTCTGCTCTACTTATAACACTTCTGCTTTGAAAAAAAAACTCATAAGCTAACTTTTTCTCTTTTATCACACCCTTTACTTCATCATTCCACTAATCACTCCTCTTTCCTCCTGCACCCACCCTCCTATAGCCACAAACTTTTGCCCCACATTCTAATACTGCATTTTCTAAAACTATTCCAACCCTCTTCAACCCCCATCCCTCCACTTCTCATACTCGCACTAGCCCACCTTTCTGCCAATAATTGCTTATATCTCGCTCTAACTTCCTCCTCCCTTAGTTTATACACTTTCACCTCTTACTTGTTGCCATTTTCTTTTTGTCCCCTCTACCTCCTACTCTAACTGAAGCTACAACTAAATAATGATCCGATATATCAGTTGCCCCTCTATAAATATGTACATCCTGAAGCCTACCCATCAACCTTTTATCCACCAATACATAATCTAATCAAGCTACTTTCATTACGTGCTATATCATACCTTGTATACTTATTTATCCTCTTTTTCATAAAATATGTATTACTTATTACCAAACCTCTCTATACACATAGCTCAATTAAAGGCTCCCATTTTCATTTACCCCTGGCACCCCAAATTTACCTACTATACTCCCTCCACAACATTTTTACCCACTTTAGCATTGAAATCCCCAACCACAAGTACTCTCACACTTAGTTCAAAACTCCCCACACTCTCACTCCACATTTCCCAAAATCTCTCTTCCCCCCTCTACACTTCCCTCTTCTCCAGGTGCATAAATGCTTAATATAACCCACTTTTCACATCCAAACTTTATTTTACTCCACATAATCCTTGAGTTAATACTTTTATATTCCCTCTTTTCTTGCCATAACTTATCCTTCAACATTATTGCTACTCCTTCTTTAGCTCCAACTCTATTTGAAACCCCTGATGTAATCCCATTTATTTCTCTCCACTGAAACTCTTCCACCCCTTTCAGCTTTTTCACTTAAAGCCAGGACATCCAGCTTCTCATTCATAACATCCACAATCATTTCTTTATCATTTGCACAATATCCACACACATTCAAGCATCCCACTTTGACGGTTTTCTTCTTTCTTTTTAGTAGGCTATACGGGAAAAGGGGTTACTAGCCCATTGTTCACGGCATTTTAGTTGACTTTTACAACACGCATGGCTTATGGTAGAAAGATTCTTATTCCACTTCCCCAGAGATTTATTTGTTGGGCAAAAAGGACTTAGTGCTCTTCATGTACAACAAAGGCATTGGCACATTTGTTTTAAGATTTGCAATAACATTCAAATTCATTATGAACATGCAGTTAAAAGAAGTATAATTTAAATAACTTTCCCCAGCCTATATTTAATTTTGATTGGGGCATTTCATTCCATGCACTTCTAGCATAGCTGATGGCATCTGCAATGTTAAATTTATTCCAGAAGCTTGTGAAATACTACTGTAGCTCACAGCTGATGCTCCAAATTTTTTCCTGCCCATAAACTGAACAAACTAAACTATGTTAAATTAATTTTACAAAGTGTTGTATAAAATTATGCTCCAATTTTTCAATAATGTAATAGCCAAAACGTGGAAAATAAATCCATGTAATATAACTGTCTACTGTGTACAATTTTATAGACAAAATTAAAAATTTGAATTACGAATGTCTTCCACTTTCTGAGTGATAGGATACTACCTGAAAATTTCGAGAGCAGGTGGCTGGCAATGATGATTGTGGTTGACAGAGATGAAATTATTCTGCCATGATCATGACAGTAACAGACAATTCTGTAGCCATTGACTAGAAGGATTGTCCTATATTTCTGAAGGTCATTATACTATACTTTAGGGGTATTATTCAGATTAAAAGTATTCTTCAGTTACAGCACTCTAATTCAGTAATATTTTAATTTATTTTTCTTTCTTACTGTAGGTGCAAAAAAACTTCCATGTGGTCATATATTTCATGCGTCATGTCTGCGATCATGGTTCCAACGTCAGCAAACTTGCCCAACATGTCGAATGGACATTTTACGACAGCCACAGCCTTCCCCAGCCAGTCAGGGTCAAGCCCCACCACAAGCTGCTGCTCCAGCACAGCCACAGACTCCCCCACCACAGGTTCCACAACAGGTTCAGCCTCAAGCCCAGCAACAGATACGTAAGTCTAAACACACGCATACAGTAAGTCTATGACTATTAATTACTTAAGAATGTTGATTTTCTGCTGTGGTTATTGTAGTTCTTACATGTTTTTGTTTTTATTTTAATTTGCTTTTTTTTTTTTTTGTCTTACTCTAAATAATGTATTATTTGCTTTTCTTACAGCCAATCCATTTGCTGGCTTGTTTCGTGGTATGCCCATTCCAATGGGGCCACCTGTTGACCTTGCCCCATTCCCATTTGCACCAGTACCAGTGCAGCAAGCTCAGCAACAGGGACCAACAACTTCATCTAGCACATCCACCACCAGTGGAGCTACGATAACTAGTTCGTCCTCTACAACTACAACATCAGCTGCAGCAACAGGTAAATTAGTCTTAGACATTCTCAATTATTTGATACAATATTTGAAGATCATACTGCATTATTAAAGATTTGTACTTAGCTCAAATGTTAAACAAAAATTTATATTTGCATTGATATTATTTTCATGAGAATTCATAATTGAGGAAAAATATCAGTATTATTACATTTATAGGAGGAATGCTAAACCCATAGGAGTCATACAGTGCTGGGGAAATGGGGCAATCAGGTTCAATCCAAGGAAGGTGGGGGATAGGTCAGATTCCCTTGACTGGCATCAAGGTACTTGTCTTGAGGGGAGAAAATAATAATAGCAATGCCAAATCATACTTTAAATTGTTAAACATATACCATTTGCATTAAGAGATTTTGTTCTATCTAAGGGGGAAGCACTAACCAGCCAGGAAGCGCTATTCCAGCAGCATCATTCAACATGATGCCACCATTCTTCCCACTGTTTCCCTTCAGTGAGTACAGTATATCTTCTAATATCAGTTGTAAAGTTGGCCAAGCATTTGTACTAGCATTATCCTGAAAGTGGATGGGTGAATATGGGTGTTTGTAACTGGAAGAATGGGTGACTGTGTGTGTACCTGTACTTGCCTAGTTGTTTGCATTATTGTCATAGCTCATTGCCACACCTCCTCTACAAATCTTTCAGCTGTGTAAGAATATGGATTTAAAAAAAATATTGTCAGCTTGTATTGTCTAATCTGATCTAAAATTTGGCAAGTTTTTTTTGTTAGCCTATAAATGATTATGATGGAGAGCGAGGGACTAATAACTCCTTTTTTTTTTTTTTTTTTTTTTTTTTTTTCCCAACAAGTCGGTCGTCTCCCACCGAGGCAGGGTGACCCAAAAAAGAAAGAAAATCCCCAAAAAGAAAATACTTTCATCATTATTCAACACTTTCACCACACTCACACATTATCACTGCTTTTGCAGAGGTGCCCAGAATACAACAGTTTAGAAGCATATACGTATAAAGATACACAACATATCCCTCCAAACTGCCAATATCCCAAACCACTCCTTTAAAGTGCAGGCATTGTACTTCCCATTTCCAGGACTCAAGTCCGACTATATGAAAATAACCGGTTTCCCTGAATCCCTTCACTAAATATTACCCTGCTCACACTCCAACAGATCGTCAGGTCCCAAGTATCATTCGTCTCCATTCACTCCTATCTAACACGCTCATGCACGCTTGCTGGAAGTCCAAGCCCCTCGCCCACAAAACCTCCTTTACCCCCTCTTTCCAACCCTTTTGAGGACGACCCCTACCCCTCTTTCCTTCCCCTATAGATTTATATGCTTTCCATGTCATTCTACTTTGATCCATTCTCTCTAAATGACCAAACCACCTCAACAACCCCTCTTCTGCCCTCTGACTAATGCTTTTATTAACTCCACACCTTCTCCTAATTTCCACACTCCGAATTTTCTGCATAATATTTACACCACACATTGCCCTTAGACAGGACATCTCCACTGCCTCCAACCGTCTCCTCGCTGCTGCATTTACCACCCAAGCTTCACATCCATATAAGAGTGTTGGTACTACTATACTTTCATACATTCCCTTCTTTGCCTCCATAGATAACGTTTTTTGACTCCACATATACCTCAACGCACCACTCACCTTTTTTCCCTCATCAATTCTACGATTAACCTCATCCTTCATAAATCCATCCGCCGACACGTCGACTCCCAAGTATCTGAAAACATTCACTTCTTCCATACTCCTCCTCCCCAATTTGATATCCAATTTTTCTTTATCTAAATCATTTGATACCCTCATCACCTTACTCTTTTCTATGTTCACTTTCAACTTTCTACCTTTACACACATTCTCAAACTCATCCACTAACCTTTGCAACTTTTCTTTAGAATCTCCCATAAGCACAGTATCATCAGCAAAAAGTAACTGTGTCAATTCCCATTTTGAATTTGATTTCCCATAATTTAATCCTACCCCTCTCCTGAACACCCTAGCATTTACTTCTTTTACAACCCCATCTATAAATATATTAAACAACCATGGTGACATTACACATCCCTGTCTAAGACCTACTTTTACCGGGAAGTATTCTCCCTCTCTTCTACACACCCTAACCTGAGCCTCACTATCCTCATAAAAGCTCTTTACAGCATTTAGTAACTTACCACCTATTCCATAAACTTGCAACATCTGCCACATTGCTCCTCTATCCACTCTATCATATGCCTTTTCTAAATCCATAAATGCAATAAAAACTTCCCTACCTTTATCTAAATACTGTTCGCATATATGCTTCAATGTAAACACTTGATCTACACATCCCCTACCCACTCTGAAGCCTCCTTGCTCATCCGCAATTCTACATTCTGTCTTGCCTCTAATTCTTTCAATTATAACCCTACCGTATACTTTTCCTGGTATACTCAGTAAACTTATTCCTCTATAATTTTTACAATCTCTTTTGTCCCCTTTCCCTTTATATAAAGGGACTATACATGCTCTCCGCCAATCCCTAGGTACCTTCCCCTCTTTCATACATTTATTAAACAAAAGTACCAACCACTCCAACACTATATCCCCCCCTGCTTTTAACATTTCTGTCATGATCCCATCAGTTCCCCCTTTCATTCTACGTAATGCCTCACGTACCTCCACCACACTTACATTCTGCTCTTCTTCACTCCTAAAAGATGGTATACCTCCCTGGCCAGTGCATGAAATTACCACCTCCCTTTCTTCCTCAACATTTAAAAGTTCCTCAAAATATTCTCGCCATCTACCTAATACCTCCCTCTCCCCATCTACTAACTCCCCTACTCTGTTTTTAACGGACAAATCCATACTTTCCCTAGGCTTTCTTAACTTGTTTAACTCACTCCAAAATTTTTTCTTATTTTCATTATCTTGTATAAATTACTAAATGTAAAAAGAAAAACCTTATGAAAGAGTTTCTTCTTTTTTAGGTCACCCTGCCTTAGTGGGAGATGGCTAGTGTGTTAAAAATATGGAAGAAAATAGATATGCAAACTAATAATTTTTTTACTACATCAGCTGTCTCCCACTAAGGTAGGTAAGTGAAAAAGAAAACATTCACCATCATTTATTTAATAGCTGTCTTGCCAGAAGTGCACAGACATCACAATTCAAATGACCCTCCTAACTAACATTCCCACCCCTTAGTGCAAGCAGTGTACTTTCACCTCCATAATTCTGGATAACTACTGTCTGTGAATCCTTTTAAAAATCTTAACCCTGTCACACTAATAGCATGTCAAGCCATAGAACCACTAGTCTCCACTCTGATCTAACCTGCTCTCACAAGCCTGCTGGATTCTGAAGCCCCTACCATTTAATACCTTTCATACTCTCCCTCCAACCCTTTCTAGGATAGCTCCTACCCCTTGCTCCCATTCTGAATTTAAACATCCTCTTGGTCAACTTAGTTCTCCATCCTCTCTGAATGTCCAAAAATGGAAATGTGGGCCGCTGGCAGCAAGTCTAATTAATCAGGCAGTCACTTATGAAATCTGACTTCCGTTCAGGCTTCAAGAATAGGGCTGTCAAAACCTATTACAGGTAATGTGACTTTTATTTGAGACCAAAGTCAAGTGAATTGTAAATTAGGAGTGACCTGGCAGTTATACCTCACTCTCCTATTTTTTTATGATCTGTGGTGCAGTACTGTAAATTTTAAAATTCTTGCAGATATTCCTCCTCCTCCTCCTCCTCCATTGAATTTCTCAGCAATGACAGAAGAGGAGGTACGCCAGCTGGAGGGCAATGAAAGACAGCATGTTGAAGCCAGAATCCAAGTACTGAGAAACATTCAAACATTGCTCGATGCTGCTGTTGTTCAGGTATATCTTCAAAACACCTAATTGTGGAAATCTGAATTTCATGTATATATGGTGCAAGGTGCTTGGTCTGGGATTTAGTATTGCAAAACCAAATAGATTTGAAAAGTAATATTGTTTTGTCATTTCTGCCTTAGAATGAAATCAAAAGTCTTCAGGAAACTATTCTGCCTAGGTGCTATTGTATCCTAGAGCTTATTTAGTACTGCCACATAGTGTACAATTCGGTAGTATCTATTCATTTAATGTGTTGAGACTTGAAAAATGTTTGTATAATAACTGGTGTTTTGTTAATTTTTTATTAAAATTTTTTTTTAATAAAATTAAAAAAAAATTTAATACCTTTAGCTGCCATAATGAAAAGATACTTTACAATACAATCCATGAGATAAACTTATCCCAAGACTAAATTAAACTTTACAAAAGTTAACAAAACACCAGTTATTTTTAGCTAAATTATTTTTAATTTGACTACACTTTGAATTGTTACAGATGAATCAGTATGCATCCATTGTATCATCACTTGATAAAAGCACTCGAATCAACACTGCTTCACAACAGTGCCCTAATCAAACAGCTGCAGCATCTGAGACAATGGTACCTCCACAACAACCGACAAAGTCTACAGATCAGACAGAAGACACGAGCCTCTTGGTTACACCATTGCTTTTTTCGCCCGAAGCTAATGATTCATCATTTTCCAGCAGTGAAGAGCCTTCTACATCCAAGTAAGTCTCAACATCTTAATGGCTTTTTCAGATTGGATAATGTATACCAATATAGAACTTGCATGGAACTTTCAGGCTGGTAACCAGGAATGAGCATACTAATTTAAATATTCTGGTAACCAGGAATGAGCATACTAATTTAAATATTTTTCTACATACTTCCTTTTGTATAGCCTGTATGGTAATCCATTGAAGTCTTCATGAAATATTTTCCCTAATAAATTTGTGAAGCCTGAAGTCATCTGTATTATGTATTAGGTAAAAGTGCACATCTGCATAATATGGGCAAAGTTTTAACGTATTAATATAGCAGTGAACATTATTTGAGAGTATTAACCCTTTCAGGGTCCACAGGCCCTCTCCGAGACTTGTTCTCAGGGTCCCCCAAATTTAAAACAAAAAATTATTTTTTTCTTATGAAAAGATAGAGAATCTTTTCCCGATCATAATGACACCAAAAGTATGAAATTTGATGGAAAACTTTCGGAATTATGCTCTCGTGAAGTTAGCGGTCTCGACAATGTTTACACATCGACAATTTTGCCCACTTTGAGCCCTATTTTCGGCCAATTCCAGTGTACTAGTCGACAAAAGTCGTAACTATTTCGCTAGAACTCCATTTTTTCTATCGAATGTGTACAAGAAACCACCCATTTACTGATTTCAATTATCCAATACAGTGGTCAGAATTTAGCAATTTTGCCAATCTCGCACAAATTTCAAAAGATGCCAATTTCCAAATGGGGTCCAGAATAAACAAGAAAGACATTCCTGGCACTAAAATAATATTTCCTCTGTTCATCAGTCATGTCCCCATGCCCCTCTTACATTCTTTTGCTTTTCACTTTGAATTTTTATTCTCACAAAAAAATAGAAGATTTATTGTTATGCAGACTACTGCATTAGTGTAGAAATGGTATAAATAATATCAGCGCCCTTGTGAAAGAATATTAGACTTGCCAGTTGGACGCATAGCATGATTTGTTTACTTTTGAACTTTGGTAAAAATCGAACATTTCTGCTACTTTGAGCTCAATTTCAAGGTACTTTTCATTGTAAAACTAGTCAAAATCATCTCAATTTCTGTAAAATGTCTTCCATTCTATAGAATGAGACCAGGAAAACTAAAATACAACAATAAATGCCATACGAAAATACAGTGCAAAGTCGCTGTTTTAATCCAAAAACAGTCAGTTTTTTTTTTTCTCATTACGCACTGTGTGCTGCAGGATTTCCTTTATACTGCGCACACTGACCACATAGACCCATTCTTTCATATGTAGGCCTACCAGCTTTCTCTCACTAGATTTGAGGGCGCTAGAATTTAGGCGTACTAGTACGTCATGGACACTTGTGCGTAAGCCGTACTAGTACGGCCGAAACCCTGAAAGGGTTAAGTGAACATGTTTCTTAGGCACCAAATACTCAGGTGTGCTTTGTGTTTAGTATTATACATGAACCTCACCCTAAAACCCACACACTTTTCTAATTTAACTAACTCCATATTTTCAACAAAACTGAAATTTTTACTGTTGCTTTTGGTTTAAATAGTGCTCTAAGGAAAGGTGACAGCTCCATTGAAGCAGCAGTACAATGACACCATTAATTAATAATGTTGTCCAGTGTTATCATAATACAGTATTACATTCACAGCATACATAAAGTGACTCCATGTTGTAATTCAGTTATGATAAGGATTACAAAGTGCCTGTAGGGAGGATGGGGGGAAATGGAAGGCATTCAGGCCCTTCACCAGTTATGATAATTACAGTGGACCCCCGCATACCGTTGGCATCGCATAACGTTAAATCCGCATACCAATACATTTTATCGCTAAGATTTTGCCTCGCATACCGCTAAAAAACCCGCTCAACACTATTCGTCCGAGATGCGTCTAATGTGCGGCCTGAGCCAGCCTCACATGTTCCGCCGGTGGCATTGTTTACAAGCCAGCCTCCGTGGTAACATCCAAGCATACAATCGTAACATTTCATATTATTAGTGTTTTTGGTGATTTTATCTGCAAAATAAGTGACCATGGGCCCCAAGAAAGCTTCTAGTGCCAACCCTGTGGTAAAAAGGGTGAGAAATATTATTGAAATACTGTGGTACCATGGTCAACTGCTGATGCTGCTGCTGCTGCTGTAGCACTTTTAGCTGCTGCTGCTGCTGCTGCTGCTGCTGCTGTAGCACCGTCAGCTGCTGCTGCTGCTGCTGTACCACCGTCAGCTGCTGCTGCTGCACTGTCAGCTACTGCTGTAGCACCGTCAGCTGCTGCTGCTGCTGTACCACCGTCAGCTGCTGCTGCTGCTGTAGTACCGTCTGCTGCTGCTGTAGTACTGTCTGCTGCTGCTGTAGCATCGTCTGCTGCTGCTGCTGCACTGTCAGCAGCTGCTGCTGCTGCACTGTCGGCTGCTGCTGCACTGTCAGCTGCTGCTGCTGCACTGTCAGCTGCTGCTGCTGCACTGTCAGCTGCTGCTGCTGCACTGTCAGCTGCTGCTGCTGCACTGTCAGCTGCTGCTGCTGCTGCTGTAGCACTGTCAGCTGCTGCTGCTGTATCACTGTTGTTGGTGTGGCTTATTGAGAATACCAAGAAACAATTAACCCCAGAAGGTTAGCCACCCAGGATAACCCAAAAAAGTCAGTGTCATCGAAGACTGTCTAACTTATTTCCATTGGGGTCCTTAATCTTGTCTCCCAGGATGCAACCCACACCAGTCGACTAACACCCAGGTAAACAGGGAAAAACGCCTGGAACTAGTGCTCATATTGGTGAATTTAAAGCCAGCAAAGGTTGGTTTGAGAGATTTAAGAATCGTAGTGGCATACACAGTGTGATAGGCCTGTTCTGGAAGAAAATGCCAAACAGGACCTACAGTACTCAGGAGGAAAAGGCACTCCCAGGACACAGTGTCTCATCAGTCATTGCTGCATCTCAATAAAGGTAAGTGTCATTTATTCTTCATTTAGTAGAGTAGTACATGCACAATATATACTGTGCATGTACTACTCTGCTATTGTGCATGTATCCTTCTCTTTGTGTGTAGGAAAATGTATATTTCATGTGGTAAAAATTTTTTTTTTCATACTTTTGGGTGTCTTGCACAGATTAATTTGATTTCCATTATTTCTTATGGGGAAAATTCATTCGCATAACGATAATTTCGCATAACAATGAGCTCTCATGAACGGATTAATATCGTTATGCGGGGTCCACTGTATTGGCGTCTGATTTTCTTTGATGAATGGACTGGGGACTATTAAATGCTTTTGATATCTATCCCGGTGGGAAAAGATATCTCACGTCTTTCAACATACACGTTTCATGGGAGGTTCCTTGTTTTTGGTGAGGAGCTCATGAACCAAGGAATTGGATTTGTCCTCCCCTTCCATGGATCAAACCTAATTGACTTACATACCCCTGGTGCTGTATGACCACTGGTTTTAGTGCTTTCCCCACAAATATAATAAAATATATTTTGAAATGAAAGATGTAATGTAAGCACTGAAGAAAAATTATTATATTTATGAGGAGATGCTAAACCCATAGGGGTCATACAGTGCCTAAGGAAATGAGAGGTAGTCTAGCTTGATCCAAGGAAGAGGTTAGGTTTATTCCTTGGATCAAGAGTCCCTAAGTAGTGATGAAAAAGAAAGCATAAATGAAACTATAGAAGACTGCCACACAAAAAGTAGAGAAAAGTATGTGTAAGTTTTAGAACATAAGATTGTGGAGAAAAATAATGGAAGCTTCAAAGTATAGGTGAGAATTTAGGAAAATGTAAGCTATTGATGACCAGGTAATTAAAAGTACAGTGGAACCCCAGATTTTGGTCGTAATCCATTCCAGAAGGTCGGCCTAAATCCAAAAAGACCAAAAACTGAAGTAATATTTCCCATAAGAATTAATGTAATTACAATTAATCTGTTCCAGACACCCAAAAATATTAACAAAAAATAAAATTTTTAAAGATTAACTATAGTTTTACATACAGAAAACAATGAGAAGTAAATATAAAGCACAAATTTTAATAACTGAAAATTACATGTACGTTTATTGAAGATTCTTGTTAGCATATTGAAGAAGGCAAGGAGGGGGGAGAGAGAGGAGAGCTTATTGTTTGGAAGGGGAATCCCCCTCCATAAGGACTTCAGTAATCAAGTCCCTCTCTGGGGTTACTAATTTGTTTTTCACTGGCACTAGGACTAGCTTGAGTCACTGCACCCCTGTCGCACAAAAAAAATGTCCCGAGAGGTCTGTTTCTGCCATCTCTAAGGTTTGCCGTAAGTGGAACAAGGTTTTGTCACTGAACATGTTGCAGATATGACTTGTTTGAGCTTGGTCAGGGTGATATTTCTCCACAAAACTTTGCACCTTCCTCCACTTTGCACAAATGTCCTTAATCATTGAAGAAGGCACATTCTCCCCTCTCTCTTCCTCCTCTGAAGCAATTTCCTCAACTGTGGTCTGTTGCTGTTGCAGATGAAGGTCCTGCAGCTCTTCAGTGGTTAACTCTTCCCTGTGATCCTCCACCAACTCTTCCACATTCTCGCCATTCACATCCAACCCCATGGACTTCCCCAAAGTCACAATAGGCAGAGGGTCGACAGGGTCAGGGTCAGCCTCAAACCCTTCAAAATCCTTCTCTTGGACACATTCTGGCCACAGTGTATCCAAGTAGAGTTCAAAGTCCTGGAAGTCACTCTCTGCCAAGTCTTACCTATTGGAGGATATTGAAGTGATTCCTCTGGAACTCTCTTAGGGTCAAGTCAGTGTCTGAGGCCAATTCAAAGCACCTTTGAAACATTGCTTTCATGTAGAGTTCTTTGAAGTTAGAAATGACCTGCTGGTCCATGAGCTGGATGAGAGGAGTGGTGTTAGGAGACAAGAACTTCACTGTTATAAAACTTAACTCCATAGACAATTGGTCTACCAAGTTTGGAGGATGAACAGGAGCATTGTCCAGTACTAGGAAGCACTTGAGTGGCAATTTATTTTCCTGGAGGTATTTTTTCACACTTGGGCCAAACACTTCATGGACCCAATCAATGAAAATTTGCCTTGTGACCCATGCCTTATTATGTATTAGCTTTCCACAACATGCATAGTTTACTCTTGACGACATTGTTTTTCTTGAACACTTGGATTTTCAAAGCGATACACCAGTAAAGGCTTCACTTTGAAATCCCCACTAGCATTACCACAGAACAAAAGAGTAAGCCTATCTTTCATAGGCTTGTGTCTGGCAGTGCCTTTTCCTCCTGCATGATGTAGGTCCTCTTTGGCATTTTCTTCCAAGAGAGACCTGTTTTGTCACAGTTGAACACTTGTTGGGAGATGAATCCTTCAACCTCTATGTAATCCTTGAATTCATGCACGAATTCTTCAGCTGCACGTTTGTCTGAACTTGCAGCCTCACCATGCCTTACAACACTGTGTATGCCACTACGCTTCTTGAATCTGTCAAACCAGCCTCTGCTGGCCTTAAATTCACTAACAGCAGCACTCGTTCCAGGCATTTTCTTTGAGATCCGCATGCAACTTCCTTGCCTTGTCACAAATGATCAACAACACTATCTCCCACTAATTGTTTATAGTTGATCCACACCGACAATAACTTCTCCACATCTTTGATTGTTGATGATCTTTGTTTCATTAGCAACATTAGCTTCCTCAGTTTCTACTTTCTTTGCCAGGATGGAAGTGATTGTTGATTTGGATTTCCCATACATCCTGGCCAGCTCCAGGACACATACACCACTTTCGTACTTTGCTACAATTTCTTGAATTCAGTCATGTTTCTCATTTTCTTTAACGAAGGGCTGGTACTAGGAACTTTCTTTGGGCCCATGTGGCTTATTTCGCAGTCGCACTCAATAAACAACCGCAAAAAACAATGGATAACGAAATGTTTGGATGAATGTGCGGAATGTTGCTCACTCGCCCAGACACAGCCAGACTGACTCTCAAACATGGGGGAATTGCAGGCAGACGTGTTTAATACGGCTGATTTCCGATTTACTTGCCAAAATCCAGGACAGAATTTCAGCCAAAAAAGCGGCTGATATCCACATCAGCCAATATCCTCATCGGCCAATATCCGGAGTTCTGCTGTATTATTTTCATGTGGAGACACTAAATCTGTAGGGGTCATATATCACCTGAGAAGTACATAATTAGGTTTGATTCAAATGTAGGGTAGCTCTAATTTCTTTGATCTAGAGCCTTTCACCAGTATCTAGGTGCCCTCTTGAATGGATCATGAAATAGGAATGTTAGTTGTAGGGAAGATGAAATAGAAATACCTGTATTGGGGAAATTTTTAACTTTAATTTTTACATACTTGCACTGTGGAGGTAATACATATTTCACCTAGATAAATTTTAGAATATCACTTTCAGTAGCAGTAATGATTTTGTAGTGAACAGTGCAAAAGGAATATTATTATTATTGTTATAATCATGGTGTGCTAAACCCAGAGGATTATACAGCACATGTGGGGGGGGAATATGGAAGGCGTTCAGGCTCAATTCAGGGAACTGGAGCACAGATCAAATTCCCTAGATCAAGAGCCCCTCACCAGCATCAAGGGACCTCCCTTGAGGGGCACAAAAGGGATAGGGTAATTATTATATTGTTTTTTAGCAATTGAGTTCATGTAGTTTTTCTTTTGTTGAAGCTTTGTATAGCTTTCTTTTATAGAATCCTACCACTTGCCTTTTTTATTAACTATACAGACCTGAAGTTGCATCATCATCTCCCAGCAATCTGGACAGTGGTCAAGCGGAGTCTGCATCTTGGTTAGGTGCAACCACTGTAGCTGACACATCCCCTCCTGACCCATCAGATCCAGAGGATCCAGAAGAGATCAGGAGGCGGCGACTAGAACACTTCTCACAGAACTCCTAGGGTAGCATATTGTTATATTTCAGCTATCATGTTGTTAATTTCCACTCATCAGTTATTTCCAGATAATTTGTAAAAGAAAGTGACACTTTAGATATTCAGTAATGTTGGGTTGAAGAGTCAAATACGTACATTATATTTTGAATTATTACTTTTTCAGTATTTAATGTCATTGAAAACTATGTAACTTATGGGATTTATAACATACGTTGATTACACAGAGTGTGGGATGTTACGTTTTAACCCCTTGACTGTCGCAACCCCCAATCCTGAGGTGTCTCCTGGTGTCGCAAAATTTAAAAAAAAAAATTATTTTTTCTTATGAAATGATAGAGAATCTTTTTCCGATTGTAATGATACCAAAAAAACAAAATTTGATGGAAAACTGACGGAATTACGCTCTCGCAAAGTTAGCGACCTCGGTGATATTTACAAATTGGCGATTTCGCCCACTTTGAGCCCTATTTTCAGCTAATTCCATTGTTTCAGTCGACCAAATTCATAGCTATTTCTTTAGAACTCCATTTTTTCTATCAATTGAGTACAAGAAACTGCCCATTTACTAATTTCAACTACCCAATAACGTGGTCAGAAATTTGCAATTTGGCCAATTACACGAAAATTAAAAAATATGACAATTTCAAAATAAGGTCCAGAATGAACAAGGCAGACATTCCTGGCTCTAAAATAACATTTTCTTTGTTCATCGTCATGTCTCCAGGCCCCTCTGATATTACTCTTGCTTTCTATTTTGAATTTTTATTCAAACAAAAAATAGAACATTTACTATTATGCAGACTACTGCAATACTGTAATAATTGTATAAATAACATCAACCCATTCATGACTGCATATTAGAATGGCTAGTTGGACATTTATTGGACAATGACATCATTTGTTTACTTTTGAACATCGGCAAAAAATCAAACATTTCCCCTATTTTGAGCTCCATTTCCAGGTTCTTTTTATAGTAAAATCAATCAAAATTACCTCTATTTCTATAATATATTTTCCATTCTATCAAATGAGACCAAGAAAACGAGAATACAACCATAAATACCACACCTACCATCCGACTTACGACCGAGTTCAGTTCCGAGAAACCGGTCGTAAGTCGAAATGGTCGTAAGTCGAACTTTACTACTGAATATCAACAAAACATTTTTGTAATGACTTTATTTTATTGTTTTATTTTGGTATTTCATGTTTTACTTTACTTTTTATGTTGTTAGTTCTGTATTTTATACTGTAAGGTTTAGGATAAACACTGTGTACAACACAAATAGTTGTTTATTTCCCAAAAATTTGGCATAAAAAACACGGTCATAAGTCGAGTGGTCGTAAGTCGAGCAGATCGTAAGTCGGATGGTAGGTGTATATGAAAATAGACCACAAAGTCGGCATTTTAATTAAAAAAAAAATGGTCGAGTTTTGTTTTTCTCATTATGCACTGCGTGCTCCAGGATTTTTTTTATATGGTGCACACTGACCCATTCTCTCACATGTGGGTCTACCAGCTTTCTCCTTCTTGATTTGAAGCCGCTAGAATTTGAGTATACTATATACGTCAAACACGGTACCTCGTAAGACGTATATATACGGCCGCGACAGTCAAAGGGTTTATGGTATTATTTTCAAACTAAAGTAAAAGAGAACAGAGGACTGCAAACTTAGTTGGTACTTTTGCTCAGGAGTATTGAAACTCTTTTATATAGTATTTACTTCAGTGTAATTTTTTTCTCCCTTATTATGGCCAGAATTATAGGGCAGAGTAAAACAAACAAACAAAAAAAATAACTTCTGTACATTGTGAAACTGGTACACAGTAGTGAACACATTCATTTTCTTAGTCTAGTTCATAAATGGTTGTACAGTATGCACATCTAAAAATTTAACATTCACTGTGTACTGGTCTCTGGTAGTTTTTCTACAAAACAAGGATTTTAATGGTGACCCACACTGCCAAAGTAATGCCTCATAAGAAGTCTTGCTATGTTTCACAAATTAGAATCATTTAATCCAGTGATGGAATTCTGGTGCTCTCTCAATAGCAATATCTTCCTATCCGTTCTACTGATTGTAACCTCATATCATAGAGTATTACTAAAGCTGTGCATATTCTGCACTGACTTCATATTGGTATGTGAATTATTACATCCTGGAGGAGTTGTTTCACAGTGTGTAAAGGATTATCTCATATTTACTAAATACTAATAAAAATTGGGGACAAGTGATGTTTATATCTGCCAAGTAGTTTTGGTATCTACCCTGTTTTAATTTAAGTACCTACCTGCAGTAACAGGAGCAGTTGCTCAGTGTTTGGTTTTCAGTTATACATTTATTGTTCGAAGTTTTTAAAATTCCCACTGGTTTTGGTAATTTTTTGTTATGTATTCATACTTGTGAAGAAATATTTTTTAATATATCTTCCACATTCATACCCTTGTTGGTTTAGTGCTTTTTGATTGTAATAATCTACATTCTTATGGTTTTTAAAGTTGTCTTTTTTGTAGGGAGATGAGCTCTAGGTCTGGTTCTTCTGTAACTTTCAGCAAACTGATGTGATAGTCATGTAATTTGTATTTGAATCCCTGAATGGAGTTTGCTTACAGTGTCATTGCTCAGGTCATTCCACTTATTTAGTAGGGAGGAAAAACTACTACTAATGTCCCTGTGGTTCATTTGGGCGCTTATTTTCCAGCCATGCCTTCTTGTTCTTGTTGAATTGCTGGCAATGAGCTTATCATTGTCTATTCCACAGAGTATTTTATGTTGTGATAATATCCCATATAGTGACAAAAGACCTATTTTGCATTTTATTAGGTGAGGGTACTCTTAGTATGTGCTATAGCCATTGGAAATTTTAAAAAATTATGACAGTGCTTTAGAAGTGACATCACAAACATAAATAAATCTTGTGTATTTCATCACAGGACAAGTGAATTCTTGTGTACTAGGTACTTGTAGTTGTTCATACAAGTATTTACCTTTTGTTGTCTAGCCAAGCCAGTGAATACATTATCCTACCTGTGGTCTAGAAAACAATGATTGTTTTGGTGCAACTAAATGTTAATCATTAAACCTGATAGAAGAGAATACATGTTAAAAATTAGCAAGGTCACTTGTTATAAGATAATATTTAAATTTCATAAAATTATGATCAATTTGTAATTGGTGTTACATAATGAGAAAGTATGTTTAATCATAGGTACAGACTACTTTAAATTAATAATGCAGATACATATTTTGTAAAATATAAATTGTTTTAAGTCGTGTACAGAAAGCAGACATTATGAGGGTAATTTAAAAAGCTAATAAATACTAGATGGATATAATAGTGACCATGAGCAAATGTCAATATTGTAGTTCTGCTCTGCCCTATAATTTGTTGGGATTGGTCTTGTCATCGATTTCTTTAACGTGCTTTCCTGCAGTTGTAAGCCGATTTCTAGTTTCAGATTTTTTTTCTTATTTCTGAAAATCATTGTTTCAGCAATAATAGCCTATGGATAGGAAAATTTGTCAGTGGGCCTGTTAATTATTTTTGTCCTTTCACTATATTTAAATTGATTCTTAACCCTTAAACTGTCCAAACGTAGATCTACGTTTTTTCAACATTTGAAAGTATGTAAAAAAGTAGATCTTTTTTTTTTTTACGTTTGAAAACATGTAAAAAACTTTGATCTACTTTTTTTTTGTTATATGTATTTGAAAATATGCAAAAAAAACGTAGATCTACTTTTGAAGCACTACGCATGTGAACGTAGATCTGCTTGGACAGTTTAAGGGTTAAGGAAATGCCATTTTTTACTTAAACAGATTTAGTGGAAGAAAATACTCTTATTAATATGGGTGTGTGTGTGTATATATTTTGAAGTTGAATTGTATATTTTATTTGAATTTGAAAGGAAGCATGCTTCATATGCTTGTTAAAAAATTGAGCTAAGTCTGTTCCCAAGCTTTCCATTTTCTGGGTATTGCTGTCCTTTGGTAAACAGGATGCAGTTTATACAAAGGTTGTAACACATTCTGCATTTTGTATAATAATTTTCTGGGTTGGTTATCACTCGGATTGGGAAATAAGTGAAAATTTAAAGCTTGTACCCATTATTAGTTTCATTTAGCCTTGCACACCTCTTTGGCGTGGTGAAGAGGCTCTTGGTCTGAGGAATTAGACCTGTCGGTCTCCTTCCTCAGACCGAACCTAATTACCCCCCAATCCCCCCTTCCCTATCCCATCCTCCCCTTTTCCCTTTCCTCCTCCTCCTCCCCCACCCCCACCCCTCCCTTTTGCCCTTCCTCTTTTTGGCCTTTGGGATTTTTCCCACAGGCGCACTAGTTCCTAGGTAGGGGAAAGGGTACCAGGGTCCATCCCATTCCGTTAAGGTTCTTGGCGGTGGCGTAGTTTGCCGTGGAATCTGGATCGCCTAGGGATGTCCCGATCCCTCTCCGGTATCCCGGAAAGTGCCTTTGGGTGTCTTTCGGGTGACGGGTGTATCTCTGGAAGCCACCTTTCGGATTCTGGGGGTGGTGGCCGAAGGAGGTATGCTTTGTGGCGGATATCCGGCTGCCCTCTCTTTTGTCCACCGAGGTAGCTCGGCAGATGTGAGGTTGCTATCCCGGATTGCTGGTTTACTGGCATGAAGGGTAGGGTATGGCACGGGTTCCATGTTGCATCTGCGCTACTAGCGGCGCTGAGGTCCTCTTGGGCGCGGAGGGAGATTTCCGGCCCTTTCATTCCTCCTGGGAACTATTCCTCCCCGCTCCCCCCTTTTTTTTTATTTTATATTTTTTATTTTTATTTTTATTTTATTTTTTTTTTCTTAAAAACAAAAAGCAAAGGAGTAACCTAACCATGGAGAACCCAATCCATGAACCCACTACCCCCAGGCCCCTTCTTGATACCGCACCCCATTCTGACCCTGCCTTGTTTTTTGACCACTCTTCGGACACTCCTGATGCCCCTGTACCTCTTGCTGGTGCTGTTTCCTCACCCGCTTCAGGTACCGGGGCTTCGACTGACTCCTTCGATTTGTCTGACCTCCGCTCTCCTTTGACTATGCTTCCGGCCTCTCCCTCTACGGTACGGCAATTTTCGAATCACCAGCCCGTTTCACGACGGACCAACTCCGGTCTTACTCCTAAACGCCAACGACAATATCCTGATGATGTTCCTTCGTTACCTTCCCATTCTACTCAGAAAAGACCGACACGTCATGCACTCCCTCTCCATGCTTAGTTTCGGACCACACAATGGACTAAATTCTTTACTTTAAGACGGACTACTTCTTCTGCCTATCTTTCTGACCATAGTATTGGCAAAGCGCTCCTGCGCCATGTTGGTGGAGATATTTCATTTCATGCTCTCGAGAGCGGTACGTGCATCGTCACTGTCCAGAATGCTACCCAAGCTCATGATCTTTCTCTCCTTTCGCATATCGATACTACTCCTATCACTATTGAAAAACATCTTTCTCTCAATTCTTGTGGTGGTACTGTCATTCTGCCCCATACCATAGTCCAACAGAATTTCCAGTCATGTGGCAGTGACATTCTTGAACAGCTGGAACTCCAGGATCTCCCAATCCTCAAAGTAGACACTTATGTCCTTCCTGCCCGCGGGTGGAGACATTACCCTTGCAATGTGGCTCGATTAACTTTCAACAGCCGTGAACTCCTGTCGTGTTTGTCACAGGACATCGGTTACAAGTTCGAAAGGTGATCCCTACACCCCAACAGTGTAGAAATTGCTGGCGTTTTGGTCACCCAGCGAAATATTGCAGATCTATAGCCAAATGCCCAGTCTGTGGTGCCGACGACCATTCTAATACATCTTGCAGTCAACCTCCATCTTGCCTTAATTGTAATGAGGCTCACCCTTCGTACACTCGCCATTGCCAGGTCTACTTAAATGAGCGTGAAATCCGTTGCCTCAAAGAGGCAGAAGGTCTCCCTTATGCTATGGCAGTTACTCATCTCCGCCTCCAAGGGAGACTACCCCGTGTTTCTTATTCTCATGTTTCAAAATGTCCCTCCACTTCTGGGGTCCCATCTTCTGCAGCCTCCTCTGTTGTTACCCCTCCCATAGCCACTCCAGCATCTAATCCATTTGCTGTCCTTGGTTCTGACGTCCCGACTACAACTCGGTCTGTTCTCACGTCTTCGCGTCCTTCCTCATAAGCCCCGGTATCGACAAGACCTCGTACGACACCTTATACCAATCGCCCCTCTACTTCACAGAAGTCCAAAAAATCCCCATTGCTCAAATCTTCTTTGCCCCTTCCTTCCCTTCTTCCACCTCCGCACTTTACCTTTCCAGTCTCTGTGCCTAGTTCTTCCCCTCTCTCTGGCTCTATTACAAGTGTGGAGGTTCACCCTCCTCCTCGTACTATGCTTTCCACCCCCGTCCCCTCCCAAGTTTCTCCCTCTTCTGCCACCTCCCAGGTTTCTGCCTCTTCTGTCCCCTCCCACACTTTTTCTCCAGTCCCCTACACTCTTTCGTCCCCCTCTACTTTGATACAGTCCATTACTGTCCAAATCTTTACTCGCCCTCCTCCTTCTACCTCCAATATTATCTCCCATACATCTTTGAATTCAGAAACACTTGAAGCCATTTCAGAATATATTGCAGAGACTAAACCTTCAATGGACACTGATCCACCTCCTGTTCCTTCTCTTCCCTCTCCTCCATCTCCACAACTCCATTCTTCGTAATGCTCCATTCCTTTGCTGCTTGAACGTCTTCCAATGCCACCACACGTTGACTTTTCTAACCCCTCTAGTCCATAGGTGCCCTTCCCTACGGATTCCTGGTATTTTCTTCATTGCCAATCATGACCTATTTACAGTGGAATATCCGCGGCCTCGGGTAATCGGGGTGAGCTTCAGATGTTGCTTTCCAGGTTTTCCCCTGTTGGTGCTTGCTTACAAGAACCAAAATTACACTCGGCTGCTTTCCAACCTATCTCAGGCTATAATTTATTGTATTCTTCGGATCCTTTCTCAGATGGGACCTTTAATGAAAGTGCCCTTCTTCTACACAATGATATTCCGTACTGTCAACTATTTGTCCATACCTCGCTGCATTACAATGCAGCCCGTATCCACTTGAATAAGTGGTTTACAATATGTTCTTTATATCTCTCTCCTTCTCGAGCATTTTCTATCCCAGATTTTGCCTTTCTCGTTTCATCCTTACCACCACCACTTCTGTTACTTGGTGATTTTAATGCTCACCATTTCCTCTGGTTGGGGGGGTCTCATTGTGACTCATGTGGCATCCAGTTAGGCTTTTCTTGCCTCTCACCCCCTCCATGTTTTAAATACGGGTACTCCCACTCATTTTGATCCTTGTAGTCATACTCTCTCTTGCATCGATCTATCAGTCTGCTCTTCCTCCACTGCACTAGACTTCACCTGGTCTGTTCTACCGGACTTAAATGACAGCGATCATTTTCCAATCATTCTTACTTCTCCTTCATATTCACCACCTTTCCATAGCCCTCGCTGGCAATTTGATTGGGCAAATTGGGACCTTTACTCGCAACTCACTGCTTTTAGTGAGGTTCCTTCTTCATCCTCCATTGATGAGCTCCTACACCTCTTCTCAACGTCAGTTTATACCGCAGCTTCTCATTCTATACCCCAAACCTCAGGCAGGCATTCTCAGAAGTGCGTGCCTTGGTGGTCTCCTGCTTGTGCTCGTGCAGTACGTTTGAAATGCGTTGCATGGGGCAGGTACCGGTACAATAGAACCAATGAAGGACTCCTTGATTTTAAGCAGAAGTGTGCGATTGCTTGCCGTGTCATCCGTGATGCTAAACGCACTTGCTGGCGAGACTATGTTTCCACCATCACCTCTGCTTTCTCTGAGTGCAGTCTGGAAAAAAGTGAGGAAATTGAGTGGTAAATACTCTCCTGACCCGGCTCCTGTTCTACGGGTCGCCGGTATTGATGTAGCAAACCCTCTTGACGTTGCCATTGAAATTGGCACTCATCTGGTCCGTATTTCCCGGGGGCTCCATCTATGCCCCTCGTTTCTTTCCTCAAAGTCTGCCAGAGAGTTAGTACCCTTGGACTTTGCTTCTCTCAGAGAAGAACAGTATAATGTGCCTTTTACACTTCAGGAACTTTTTAACTGACAGACATTTCCATGTTCGAGTCAATAATGTGCTTTCCCCGGACTTCGTCCAAGCTGAAGGTGTCCCTCAGGTATGTGTTCTGAGCACAACACTTTCTCCTTGCTATAAATGATTTGGTCTCTGTTCTTCCACCCAATATTTGGTCATCACTCTATGTTAATGACTTCGCTATTGCTTGTGGAGGTGCTGACTGTCATCTCATTACAGTTTCTCTCCAGCATGCGGTTGACCATGTTTCCACTTGGGCCACCACGCACGGGTTTAAATTTTCCAGTACCAAAACTCGCCAAATTACTTTCACTAGACGCTCTGTCATCTCCGATCATCCTTTGTATCTCTATGGCTCTCGTATCCCCGAACGTGATAGTCAGGTTTCTAGGCCTTTTCTTTGACCGTAGGTTAACCTGGAAACCTCACATTACCTCTCTGAAGGCAACTTGTAACAGCCGGCTGAACCTTCTTAACACCCTTGCTCATCTTTCCTGGGGAGCTGATCGTCGAATTCTGCTTCGCCTACATTCAGCCCTCATTTTATCGAAACTCGTTTATGGTGACCAGATTTATTCAGCGGCCTCTCCTGCTACTCTCTCTAGCCTTAACCCCATCCATCACCAAGGATTACGTTTATGCCTTGGTGCTTTTCGCTCTTCCCCTGTTGAGAGCCTCAATACAGAAGCGAATGTTCCATCCTTGTCTGATCGCCATGATGCCCATTGCCTTCGCTACTATGTACGCTCTCACGATCTCCGCAATCCTTCCATTGATAGAATGGTCACCGATATTAGTAGACATTCTTTATTTGTTCGCCGCCCCTGTTTGCTCCGTCCCTTTTCTCTTCGCCTACATTCGCTCTTGTCTTCCCTTCAGTTACCACCTTTATATGTTTATGTAGCATCTCACTTTTCCCTACCCCCCTGGGAAGTTCCAGCTGTTCGGGTCTGTTCTTTCTCACTCCCTTGCTCGAAAGCCCAACTGCCTACGGTGGCTTCCCGCTCTCTTTTTCTTGATCACTTCCACTCTCATTCTCATACCATCGCTGTGTACACAGATGGCTCTAAGTCTTCAGACGGCGTCAGATTCGCAGCAGTGTTTCCAGACAGCGTCGTGTGGGGGCATTTACTATCTTCAGCTAGCATTTTTACTGCTGAATTGTATGCCATTCTTGCATCACTTATTCGTATCGCATCTATGCCTGTGTCATCATTTGTGGTAGTCTCAGACTCCTGTAGTGCTCTACAGGCTATACAAAAATTTGATACACCTCACCCCCTAGTTCTCCATATCCAACTTTGGCTATGCCGTATCTGGTCATGTCGACGTACAGGGCAATGAACAGGCAGACACTGCTGCACGGTCAGCAGTACATGACTTACCAATTTAATATAGAGGTGTTCCATTTCTGGACTATTTTGCTGTAATAGCTACCCACCTTCACACCCGTTGGCAACAATGTTGGTCAACTCTGCTCGGCAACAAACTTCATTCTATTAAACCGAGCATAGGTTACTGGCCGTCTTCTTGTCATTAGTACCGAGGTTGGGAGACCACTCTCTCTCGCCTTCGCATTGGCCACACTCGTCTTACTCATGGGTATCTCATGGAAAGGCACCCTGTTCCTCTCTGTGAGCAGTGTCAAGTTCCAGTATCGATTAGCCACATTCTGTTAGACTGCCCTCTCTATCAACGAGCATGCAGAATTTACCTCCAACGTCATCTCTGCTCTACTACTCTCTCTTTACCTTCCCTTCTTGCTGATGGACCCTCCTTTAATCCTGACTCTCTCATTGACTTCTTGACAACGACTGATTTACCCCACAAACTCTGATGATGATACCTTTCGCACTCCCCTCAGCCCTTTCTAGTTCAGTCTCTTGCTGCCCTTACCCTTTCACCATCCACTGCCCCGCTGTTCTCCATAACCTACTACTCATCCATCTCCCTTTTGCCACCTGATTGATGCCCTTGCCTCCTTCCTGCCCTGCAGTGCTGTATAGCCCTTGTGGCTTAGCGCTTCTTTTTGATTATAATAATAATAATAATTAGCCTTGCACAGTACATTAAGTTTTTTGTTTATTTTACAGAGTAAGTAGGTATACAGCTGAATGTTTTATAACCTTGATGTATAATTGAATTTTTTTGATATGAAAAATATAGAATGTATATTTCAAGAAGAAATAATATGTAATTCAAGGTGCATCACTCTAGTAATAATTTTTGTGAAAATGTAAAAAAAAAAAAAAAAAATTATGAAAGAATAAATTTGTGGTCTTTTTATTTTAATCTAAATTTGATGGTTAAAAAGTTATTATTAATTTTACAGATTCAATGTAAATTTTGGTTTACACACAAGTTTAAAGTGGTAAAGGAGTAATTTTTGTGGTGAATTACAGTATTATGAAAAGTCATTACATAGATTAAAATTGGATATAATAGTTATTTACATAAAATAGCTAGATTTATTTGGTATTTTGCTGAGGATATTATTTTCTGAAATTTGTAAAACACACACCTTTATCTGTTATATCCCCTCATAACCTACTTGTACAGAACTTAATTTATACAGTAAAGTCTTGTACCATGGATTCTTAACATTACTGAGAGCCAAAGCATAATTCTTCAGTGCTATAACTATAAAAATGGGGTTTTCAGTAAGTAATGTATTATAATTAAAATAAAACTAAGTGCTAAACCCACAAGGGTCATACAGCACTGCAGTCAGTACTATAAGGAAGAGCTTTATTCACTTTCTGGTAGCCTGACTCCCTAAAGTTGATTACTTTGTGTGAAGTTAGAGCTTCTAGTCTCTTCGCTCTTCCCCTGTTGAGAGCCTCTACGCAGAAGCGAACGTTCCATCCTTATCCGATTGCCGTGATGCCCATTACCTTCGCTACTATGTACGCTCTCATGATCTCCGCAATCCTTCCATTTATAGAATGGTCCCTGATATTAGTAGACATTCTTTATTTGTTCGCCGCCCCTGTTTACTCCATCCCTTCTCTCTTCGCCTTCATTCGCTCGTCTTCTCTTCAATTACCACCTTTCTATGTTCATGTAGCATCTCACTTTTCCCTACCCCCCCCTGGGAAGTTCCAGCTGTTCGAGTCTGTTCTTTTTCTCTCCCGTGCTTGAAAGCCCAACTGTCTGCGGTCGCTTCCCGCTCTCTTTTTCTTGACTGCTTCCACTCTCATTCTCATGCCATTGCAGTGTACACAGATGGCTCTAAGTCTTCTGATGGCGTAGGATTCGCAGCATTGTTTCCGGACAGCGTCGTACGAGGGCATTTACTATCTTCGGCTAGCATTTTTACTGCTGAATTGTATACCATTCTTGCAGCACTTACCTGTATTGCATCTATGCCTGTGTCATCATTTGTGGTTGTCTCAGACTCCCATAGTGCTTTACAGGCTATACAGAAATTTGATACACCTCACCCCTTAGTCCTCCGTATCCAACTTTGGCTACGCCGCATCTTTACCAAGCATAAAGCGCTGTATAGCCCTTGTGGCTTAGCGCTTCTTTTTGATTATAATAATACCAAGCATAAAGATATTGTTTTTTGTTGGGTCCCTGGTCATGCTGACACTGCTGCACAGTCAGCAGTACATGACCTACCAGTTTCATATAGAGGTATTCCAGTTACGGACTATTTTGCTGCAATAGCTACCCACCTTCACACCCGTTGGCAACAACGTTGGTCTACTATGCTCGGCAACAAACTTCAGTCTATTAAACCGAGTATAGGTTACTGGCTGTCTTCTGTCACCAGTGTCGAGGTTGGGAGACTACTCTCTCCCGTCTTCGCATTGGCCTTAATCATCTTACTCATGGATATCTCATGGAGAGGCGACCTGCTCCTCTCTGTGAGAATTGCCATGCTCCATTATCAGCCACATTCTGTTGGACTGCCACTTTACCAACGAGCACGCAGAATTTACCTCCGTCGTCGTCTTCGCTCTGCTGCTTTCTCTTTACCTTCCCTTCTTGCTGATGGACCCACCTTTCATCCGGACTCTCATTGACTTTTTGACAACAACTAACTAACTTCACAAGCTCTGATGCCTTCAGCCCTTTCTACCTCAATCTCTTGCTACCCTCTACCCCTGCACTATCCCCTGCCCCGCTGTTTTCTGTAACCTACTAATCATCCCTTCCCCCTTCTGCCGCCCAATGCCCTCGCTTCCTTCCCTACCCTGCAGCACTGTATAGCCCTTGTGGCTTAGCACTTCTTTTTGATTATAATAATAATAATAGAGCTTCTAGTTGCCTATGACCCTAGTGGGTTTAGTGCTTCTTTTTGATTACAATAATAATTCTAGTTGCCTATAACTAATTTTTTTTTCTAAATTATTGCCTTTTCCAGCACCTGTACTCGTTCTTTTTAAAGCCTGGACATTAGCTATAGACAAATTTTTGTATACATTCTTTTCTCATTCACAGTGTACAAAGTTTCACATTTACTTTACATTATCAAACCATATTCACAGAACTTCTCTAACATTGCCATTGAGCACAGTCATAAAAATCTTGCTTAGCCACTATTCTGAGACAGCTGGCCAGGGTAAATGTAATTGTTTTTTGATGGGATTCCATTGACATGTCAATTTTCCAATTTTTTGCTTGGGTACCTAGTCTTAAGAAATTGCCATGCTTTAAAACATAGATTTGTCAAAGTGTACACCCCTTCATATATAAAGTTTAAAAAATGAATAATGAACCTGTAGTGTACAAGATTTTACTGTAATTTATGGTTATACATTTCTCAAGTTATCCATTAAGGGACCCCTCTGTCAGTCATGTCACTTCCTCTTTTTAAGCTCAATAGTATTTTCTTTTATTGCTCTATCTGGTCTTAATATCTGGTGAGATATTTTCATCATGGTATAGAAACTGTATTGTAAAGGTATATTGCATTTCTGGAAAATGTGTTCAATAAATATATTTATTATGCATATTTAATAATTATCACCAGTGAATGTGTGTAGCCTAGGTTGGCTTCCCCCTCCCCCCCAACAGCCATCTCTTGCCAAGGCAAAGTGTTCCAAAGAAATGCATTGTTTTATGGACATGTGTTAAAGGTTGCAACAAGAAAGCTTGAGACAGTGGAAATGTGTGAGAGCAATGTCAAGTGTGAATATCAGTCATCTAGGGATTTCAAGAGTGTAGATATTGAAAGATGTGGCATCACAAAGGGTGTAATTCAGAGGGCTAAACCTAAATATCTGACTCCAATCATCCTTCATATAAAACTTTGGTTATGTCACATTTCTAGTAAACTAAGACCTTTTTTGCTGGGTCCTTGGACATTAAGTTTGGGGTGATGAACAGGCAAACTCAGCTGCTTGGTCATCTGTTCCTAATGACCGACCCTTGTCAGTTTAGCACTTTTTGATTATAATAATAATCCTAATGACCTCCAATTTTGCACAGAGGTGTTCCTTTCTGGGACTAATTTTAAGTGAAATTTTGCAACTGCTGGCAACAGTGGTGATTCACATTGGACAATATTGTTGTCTTGTCAAACCACTTTCGGATTTTTGGTCATTACATTCCAACTGCTGTCATGTTTGAGAGACTGCACTCTCCCACCACCATATCAGCCACATATGCTTCACTAATGGACATCTTGTGGAAAAATGCCCAGACTGCTCTGCAAGGACTGCCAGATTCCATTGTCAGTTCATCTAATATTGATTTGTCTTATCAGTGGGTATGCAGAACTCACTTTGGATGTTCCTACCACCCCGATAAACTTTAATTACTACCTTGCTGAAAATGTCACTTTTGATGCAAACACACTATCTTTTTAGCAGAGACTAACTTATTACACCAACTTTGATTTTAATTTATCTCTTGCCTTTTCCCCTACCTCAATCTAACCCTTAACCTTTCATACTCCTGGTTCTCACTCCCTCCTAACCTCTGCATATTCTTTTAGCACATCCCTCACTGCAGTGCTGTATGACCCATTTGGGCTTAGTGTTTAATTTGGTATTCAGAGGGCTAAATGATACCAAATTAAGATGGTTTGAGCATGTAGAGAATAGAGGAATAGGATGAAGGGTGTATAAATCGGGCAGAAAGGTAGGAGGGTTAAGTGTGGTCCCTGGAAGAGCTACAGGGTTAGAGTTTTAGGGGCTTGATCATCCTACAGGCTTGTGTGAGCAGGTATTACAGGAGTGAATCTCGTGGGTATCTCATGGAGAGGCGCCTTGTTCCTCTCTGTGAGAATTGTCAGGTTCCAGTATCTGTTAGCCACATTCTGTTGGATTGCCCCCACTATCAACAAGCACACAGACTTTACCTCCAATGTTGTCTCTGCTCTGCTGCTCTTTCTTTACCTTCCTTTCTTGCTGATGGATCCTCCTCTAATCTGGACTCTATCATTGACTTTTTGACAGCAACTGATTTACTCCACAAACTCTGATGATACCTTTAGCACCCCCCTGTCCTTTCTACCTCAATCTCTTGCTACCCTCTACCCCTGCACTATCCACTGCCCTGTTGTACTCCATAACCTACTAATCATCCCTCTCCCTCTTGCTACCCGATACCCTTATATCCTTCCCTGCCCTGCAGCGCTGTATAGCCCTTGTGGTTTAACGCTTCTTTTTTATTATAATAATACAGGAGTGAATGGAAAAGTGATTTTTGATGGATGTGCTGTTGGAGTGAACATGCTGATGAAGGGATTCATGGAAACTGGTTAGTCAGACTTTTGAGTCCTGGAGGTAGGAAGGACAGGGCCTGCACTCTTGAAATAGTGGGTAGGGATGTTGTAGTCAAAGGTTAATCTGAATTGTGATGTTGGTACACTTCTGGAAAGCCAGTGACTGAATGGCAGTATACCTGGAGGGTGTTCAGAGGGTCAACATTCCTGTGGCCAGGTCCATGACCAGGCCTCATGGTGGATAAGGGCCTGTTACTGTTGGCTGCACACAAACTGAAGTACAAACCACAGCCCAGCTGGTCAGGTACTGACTTTAGGTGTTTGTCCAGCTTCCTCTTGAAGATAGGCAGGGATCTATTGGTGACCCGCCTTATGTATGCTGGGAGGCAGTTGAGCAGTCTTGGGCCTGCAGACACTTTGTGTTGTCTCTTAATGTACTTGTGGTACCCCCTGCTTTTCAATGGAGGGATATTGCAGTACCTGCCGAGTCTTTTGCTGTCGCAGGGAATGAATTTCTGTATGCAGATTTGGGACTAGTGTTTTCTTTGAGTCACACCCTGCCTTGGCCAGAGATGGCTGTTGAGTGGAGATAAGTGGTTTTTGTGACTGTGTGTTGTTGGAGTGTGAGCAAGGTAATGTTTTTGAAGGGATTCAGGAAAACTGGTTAGCCAAACTTGAGTCCTGGAGGTGGAAAGTACAGGTGCTCATCAACTTACGATGGTTCAACTTAGGCTATTTCAACTTTACAAAGGTGCAAAAGCAATTACGTACTTTGGAGATGAAACTTAGGAAAATTACCCAACATGAAGGTGGCAAGTCCATAACTTGTATTCATGTATTTACTTTTCAATCCTGGTAGTATTTAGTTACAGTAATTATTTGTTTATTTACTTATTCAGTGACAGTAGTAATTTATTCACTCATTAGCATATATTCATATTCAACTTACAGTGGGTTCGTCGGAACATAACCCCATCGTAAGTCGATGAGCACCTGTGTGTGTGTGTGTACGTGCTTGCCTAATTGTAGTTGTAGGGGTCGAGTCATGGCTCCTGGCCCCCGCCTCTTCACTGATCGCCACTAGGTCCACTCTCTCTCTGCTTCCCAAGGCTTGTTGTACTTCTTCTTGAAGCTTTGTGTGGATCCTACCTCCACTATACCACTCTCTAGACTATTCCACTTCTTGACAACTCTATGATTGAAGAAATACTTCATAACATCCCTGTGACTCATCTGAGTCTTCAGTTTCCAATTATGACCCCTTTTTACTGTGTCCCATCTCTAGAACATCTTGTCTGTCCATCTTGTCAGTCTCTCTCAGTATTTTATATGTTATAACATCCCATCCCTCTCTCCTGTCCTTCAGTATTGTCAGCTGGATTTCTCTTAACCTTGCCTAGTAGTCTTCCGAGACTAGCCTCGTTACAAACCTTTGCACTTTCTCTAACTTTTTGATGTGCTTGACTAGGTGTGGGTTCCACAGTGGTGCTGCCTACTCCAGTATGGGCATGATGTACACTGTATACAAAGTCCTGAATGATTCCTTACTGAGGTGCTTGAATGTTATTCTTAGGTTTGCTAATTGCCCAAATGCTGCAGCAGTCATTTGCCTGATATACACTTCAGGAGATGTTCTCGGTATTATACTCGCCCCAAGATCCCTTTCCTTTAGTGAGGTTTGCAGTCTTTGGCCACCTCTAAACTACTCTGCCTGCGGCCTTTGCCCTTCCCTGATCTTCGTGACTTTGCACTTAGTGGGGTTAAACCCTAGGAGCCAGTTGCTGGACCAGGCTTGCAGCCTGTCCAGATCCCTTTGTAGTCCTGCCTGATCCTCATCTGACTGAATTCTCCTCATTAGCTTTACATTATCTGCAAACAGGGACACTTCTGAGTCTATTCCTTCCGTCATGTCATTCACATAAGCCAGAAACAGCACTGGTCCTAGGACTGACCCCTGTGGGACTTTGCTCATTACAGGCGCCCACTCTGATACGTGTGTGTGTGTGTTTTTTAACGCGCTGGCCCTCTCCCACCAAGGAGGATTTGTGGGCAAGGGGCTTGGACTTCCAGCAAGCATGAGTGAGCCTGTTAGATTGGAGATGAATGGTTTTTGGGACCTGACAAGCTGTTGGAGTGTGAGCAGGGTAATATTTTGTGAGGGGATTCAGGGAAACCAGTTAGCCAGACTTAAGGTTGGAAGTACAATGCCTGTACTTTAAAGGAGGGGTTTGGGATACTGGCTGTTTGGAGTGACATCTAAACTGTCATATCTGAGCGCCTCTGCAAAGACAGTGATTATGTATTAGCAATGGTGGAAGTGTTGAATGATTATTTTTTTTTCTTTCTTTTTAGGTTTTTCTTTCTGGGTCACCCTGCCTCAGTGGGCAGCGACCGACGTGTTAAAAAAAAAAATGTCAACTCCACAGCCCTTGCCTGCAAAGGCAGGGTAAGCTGTCCTAATATACAAGTACAGTTAGAAATAGAAATACAAATAGCTGGAGCTTCACTTTAAGGAGGTTATTAATAGAGTATTCAAGTGTGACCATGGTGTAATAGCGCACACAATACATGCTAAAGGAATAACAGGAAAAGTTGGTCGATGGATCTATAATTTCCTCACAAACAGAACACAAAGAGTAGTAGTCAACAGAGTAAAGTTCGAGGCAGCTACGGTGAAAAGCTCTGTTCCACAAGGCACAGTACTCACTCCCATCTTGTTCCTCATCCTCATATCTGACATAGACAAGGATGCCAGCCACAGCACTGTGTCTTCCTTTGCAGATGACACCCGAATCTGCATGAGTGTCTTCCATTGCAGACACTGCAAGGCTCTAGGCAAACATCAACCAAATCTTTCAGTGGGCTGCAGAAAACAATATGAAGTTCAACGATGAGAAATTTCAATTACTCAGATATGGTAAACACGAGGAAATTAAATCTTCATCAGAGTACAAAACAAATTCTGGCCACAAAATAGAGCGAAACACGAACGTCAAAGACCTGGGAGTGATCATGTTGGAGGATCTCACCTTCAAGGACCATAACATTGTATCAATTGCAGCTGCTAGAAAAATGACAGGATGGATAATGAGAACCTTCAAAACTAGGGATGCCAAGCCCATGATGACACTCTTCAGGTTACTTGTTCTATCTAGGCTGGAATATTGCTGCACACTAACAGCACCTTTCAAGGCAGGTGAAATTGCTGACCTAGAAAATGTAGAGAACCTTCATGGCGCACATAACGGAGATAAAACACCTCAATTACTGGGAGCGCTTG